TGGAGTGAGCGGAGCTCATCAGGCCAATGCAGATTCAGGTTTGGCCATGTGGGGGAGGGCACAACACAGGAATGATGGTGCTACCCATGCAGGCTACATGAGAAAAATCTATCTACACAGGAAAAATGGCAAATGTCCCTTCAGTCCTTGCCCTGAATCCACAGAACTCAGTCTCTCCCTTTATGTCTCTGACTCCTCCCAAGTCACTATCCGTCCGATGAAGCCCAGGGTGAGGGCCTGCAAGCGAATGAGTCTATGCACAGGCCCTTTAAGAGGACATCTGTGTTTCCTGCAGCTTTCCGTCTCACCCGGACAGTTGGGTTCCCCAACATTTTTCATTGCCAGATTTTGTGGAGGCAACAGTACTCTGGGTTGGGTCCCTCACTCCTTTGGTGGGGATCTCTGTGGCTGAGATATCGCTCCTCTCAACCACCATACGCAGGTGTGGGGCTGGCTTGTTTCACATCTCTGCCTCTCCTACCAGTGTCGATGTGGCTTCTTCTTTATATTCTTATAGAACTTCTGTTCAGCTAGACTTCAGATGGTTCTCCAGGTTGATTGTTCTATAATTTAGTTGTAATTTTAATGTCTCAGGAGGAGGGAAGCACAACGTTGATCTACTCTGCCATCTTGGACCTCTTCCAGTCATCAAAATCTTCTTTTATAATGTTAGTCCTTAGACATATAAATTAGCTGCACCCTACATATTTTGATATGTTCATTTTCCCTTTCACTCAGCTTTACTTATTTATTTTTCCTTGATACTTCTCCCCTGATCATAGGTTATATAGAAGTATGACGTTTCATCCCAAGTGCATGGAGGTTTTACTTTTATCTTTTTGTTTCACATTTATGGTTTGATTCTATGGTGGTCAGAGAACATAACACTATATGACTTCAACTCTTAAATTTGTTGAGGTTTGTTTTAAGGCCCAGGCTATAATGTATTTTGGTAAATGTGCTGTGGGAGCTTGAACAGAATGTGAATTCTGCTGCTGTTGGATGGGGTAGTCCATCAATGTTTAGATTCTGATTTTCTGTTTAGCTGTTCTATCAATTGTTCAAAGAGGTATGTTCAATTCTCAAACTATAATTCTCCTTCAAGACCTATTAGTTTTGGTTTCATGTATTCTGCAGTTCGGTTAGGTCCCTACACAGTTATGATCATTATATTTTCCTTGTGGATTGACATTTATATCATTCTTTAATGTCATTGGCGATTTTCTTTGTTATGAAATATACAATAATGAAATGAACATAAAAATTCCTGCTTACTTTGATTAATGTTTGCATGGTATCTCTTTTTCTCTCCTTTTACTTTCAACCCACCTATACTGTCAGTTTGAAGACTCTTTTATATACAGTATATAGCCAGGTAATGTGTTTTTATCACTCTGCCAATTTAAACCATTTACATTTAATGTAATTACTGATATTAAGCTTAAGTCTTCCAACTTATTTTCCCGCTTTCTATTTGTTCTGTTTTCTTTTTTATTTTTATTTTTATTTATTTTTTTTATTGGGGAATTGGGGGGATGGGAACAGTGCTGGGGGATTGGGGAAGGGGAACAGGCAAGTTGCTGTCGTTTTGTTCTTCAGTCTAGCTGTGGAGGACGTCGCTTCACCTGCCCAAGTTGGCACCATCATTGCGCTCCTCCCTGGAGAGGCAGATCAGTCGCCGNTTTGTTCTTCAGTCTAGCTGTGGAGGACGTCGCTTCACCTGCCCAAGTTGGCACCATCATTGCGCTCCTCCCTGGAGAGGCAGATCAGTCGCCGGCTTCTGGACGGCCGCTCACTGCGGCGGCTGGCCGCTCACGCTGGCTGCCGGCCGCTGGCTACACACGGTAGCCCATGGCAACCCACTGCCACAGGGACTGCAGCCCACGCCGTCACCGTCGCCAGCGACTCACGGCAGCCCAGCTCCAGGTTGAGCTGAACGCATCTTAGCTGTGGAGGGCAGCGTTCACTGGCCCTCATATGCGGGATCCGAACCGGGGCCCTCTGGCGTCCCAAGCGAGCTCTTAACCATCGCGCCACTCGGCCGGCCCTGTTCTGTTTTCTTTTTCCAAGCTTCCTGTGAGTTTTCTGAATGTATTTTAGAATTCCATTTTTGTCTAGTGCTTTTGTATGTATCTTCTGGTACAGGCTCCTTTTTATGGTTGCACCAGGTGGTACGTTATACATTATATAATTATTAGTCTACTGGTCTTGACATTTTACCAGTTTCAGTGAAGTATAAAAACCTTACCTCTCTTTACATTCCTTTGCTCTTCCCTACTTATCTATCACTTTCTTAAACATTTCTTGCACATGCACAGAAATGTTAATAATTTTTGTTGCAACTAACCAGCATAATTTTAAAAATTCAGGAATGAAAGTCTGTTGAATTTACCTATGTTTTGACTCTTTCCATTGTTCTTTCTTCTGTCCTGATGTCCCTAAATTCCCTTTTGTATAATTTTCTGTTTTAAGAATTTCCTCTAGCTATTCTTTTAGGAAAAGTCTTGCTAACAACAAACTCTTTTACTTAATTTGACAATGTCATAATTTTTCTTTTCATCCTGAAAGATATTTTTGCTTGATGTAAACTTCTGGGTAGTTAGTACAGAGAAGTTGTCTTTTTACATTCTGGCCTCCATGGTTTCTGATGAGAAATTTTGTTTACCTTAAGTTCTCAGAAGTTTGATTATGCTACGTCTTGATGCAGGTTCTTTTGGGTTTATCCTGTATGTGGTTCCCTCAGCTTCTTGAATCTGTAGGTTTTTGTGTTTTGCCAAATTTAGGAAGCTGTCAGCCATTATTTCTTTGAATACTTTTTTAGTCCTGTCCTTCTCTTTTACCCAGAATTCAGTGACAAGAATATTAAACTTACTATTCCACAGATCTTTGAGGCTTTGTTTATTTTTATAAACTCTCTGTTGTTCAGAGTGGGTTAATTCTATTGTTCTTTCAGTCCACGGATTCTTTACCATCTCTTTTGCTGTTAAGTCTATCTACTGAGTTTTCGTATTTTAGGTATTGTATTTTTCAGTTCTAAAATTCTGATTCTTTATGTCTTCTATTTCTTTGCTGAGGGTTTTATTTTCATTTGTTTCTATTGTATTTGTAATTGTCTTGTGAAGCATTTTTTTAATGGCTGCTTTATATTCTGTCAGATAAGTTTTAACATCTCTGTTATCTTGGTATTGATGGTCTTTCTTCCATTTAGTTTAAGATCTTCCTGGTTCTTGGTATGAGTGTAATTTTCAATTAAAACCTGGACATGTTAGGTTTTATGAGACTCTGGTTCTTACTTAAACCCTCTAGTTTAGCTGACTGTTTGATATCCTACTGGCAGGGGAAAAGTGGCATTGCTTCATTTTTGCTTGGTGGGAGGATAAGTAGAGGTTCCCTATCATTGACACTGAGGTTAGGACTCCTTGTCATTTTTTTTTTTTTGGAGGGGGGCGCGGGGGGAGAGTGTTGAGGATGGAGTTCACACTTTTCTCTAGGCCTCCACTGATACCTTTCTAGCTGTGAAGAGTTGAAGTGCCTCCTTACTGCTCCCCACATGGCTTTCATTGATACCTCATCAGAGTGATGGGGGTATGTGGCCTTATTACCACTGGGCAAAGGTGAAGGAAAGAGATGCCTTGTTAGTGCCTGGTGAGGATGGAAGTCCAGGCTCTCCACATGAACTACACGGACACTACTGGGCAGAGGGACTGGTTACTGCCTAGGTAGGATGACAACACCAGCTCCCTACTTAGTCTTCTCTGACACCACCATGGCAGTAAAGGCTTGAGGCTCCTCAGCCTGCCAAAGGTGGAAGTCTAGGCTCCCCACCTGGCCTTTGCTGGTGTAAGTGGTAGTGGGGCCATAATATTTTTCTGTTGTGTTTGGCTGGAGGAGAGTATTGTATAAAAGTTTTCTGATTTGCTAGGCTGCCCTTCTCCTGGTCCTTCGTCTAGAGAGAACAGGATTTTGCTGGGGTGTTTTTGTCCCTGCTTATTGACATTTTCAGATGGCTGACATCTTCAACTCCAATTAGGGGATACAGATGAGGCAAAAGGAAAACTAGAGAACACAGTCTGTTTGGTTGCTTGGTCCCAAGGTCCCTAGCTGGTCTGTGTCCTTCCCTCCACCTTTAGAGTCTTCAGAGCGCAAGCCCTGACTTTCCTTTCCTTTACCCTTTTTCCTTTTCTTTCCTTTCTTTTACCTACCTTTCTTCCTTCCCTCCCTCTCTCCCCTTTTTTGAAATGCAAGTGTTTGATTTAAGCTTTGATTGCCTAGGCATCCATTTCAAAGCCAGCTATCTCCAATAAACACGTTGCCAGCCACATGACCAGACAAAAAGTCAGGCTGAGCCAGACCGCCTCCACACACTGAGGCTCCTTTGTTTTAGAGATCTTGGTTGATTTCAATAACTAATCATTTGGGCTACTTGTTGTGTTCTCTTCCCATACTTTAAATGAGCACTTTTATGTTTTAAGTTCACCAATAAAGAGTGAGTCTGTGAAACCCTAGGCCCCCACCCTTGACCCCAAGAAAAGCTGAACCCCAGGCCTGTGCATGTGTGTGCTTGTGTGTGCTCGCTCTCGCTCTCTCTCGCTCTCTCTCTCTCTCTCTCTCCCCGCCCTGCGACCTTACTGTGTGGCCTCAGATAAGCTGTGTATTTCCATGTTTTATAAGTAATAAACTTGTGTCTTTTCAAAGTTTCCTGATGGTCACTGCTCAAGAATGTCTTGCAATCATAATATGAACAAAAAGGGCTGGTCCACCAACAACACTGATTATTGATAGACTGAGACCAGTACAATGTTGGTTTTTATATATAACGCACAGGGTGTTTACCTTTACTTTGTGGGGGGAATAGGGAAAAGTATGTCTACTCCATCTTCCTAGTAGTGCAAATCCAATAATTTACTTTTGTGGGCTCATTTTGATGACAATTAAAAAGTTACCAGATTTTACCAATCTTGTAATAATAGTCTTATAGATATTCATAGGTTTAACTAAAAAATAGAGTACAAACCATGGAATTCACGCACTCTTACCTTGTTCACTGCCATGTGTACAAATGTTAAGATTGACATATGCACAAGCAGGGCCAGGCTCGGATGATCCTCTGGTGAGTGTAATTTCCAGGTCAGACCCCTTTAACTGAGCACAAGGGAACATGTGATAGCGTAACCACAGCATCTGATCACAGTGTCACCAACTAACATAGCAAGTATTTCTTCTACGAACAAGAGGTCTATACAATTCTGAGAGCATATTTAATCATGTCACTAAAACAGTCAAGAGCTGCAATTCTTCCCTCATTTTTTTCTTTTTACCTTTTTTTTAAACTATGTAAAATAGAAAATGAAACCATCTTGTAAAGTGCCCCGCTGAAAACAGTCACTTTCAGCCCTTGCTTGTCTGTCTTATTTGTCCCACATAAAGTTGGAACAAGACAAGGAGCAAGTGATTGAATAAATGACTGACTGACAGAATTTCTTTGCTTGTTATAAATAACCAACTTTGGCCATGTCTTGATACCAGATTTCCATAGTTACATCTAAAAAGTACCAATAAAAAATGAAATTGTAATTTTATGTATAACCTACTACCATAAAAGTTAACCGCTTTCCAAGTCAATTGACATTTACTTTAACAATAATTTCCAGAATCCACAATATTGACTTTTCTAGTTTTAGGTGCAACAGGCCCATATAGCCATCTGATCTCCTGACAATTCTTATGTACTTCCTGGTGAACTTCCCCAAGAGAACTGTCATGAGAGCAGCTCTACCTTCCCACCCTGTCTCCTATTCTGGACATCGTCTCTCTGACCCTGCTGACCACCATCCAGAGCAACACTTCAGGACTGGGCACTGTATCAGTCACTACTGAGGGGACAGAATCTCAAGGTGTGACTAAACAACCTTAACATAAAATCTAATTAATATTAAATGTCTTAATAGTTCAACAGAACTCAGAACTTACCTGCATTTTTTCTTGAATAAGGATTTTATCTGATGGAGGAACTGGATATGGTTTCAAGGGAGCTTTTATGGTGGCACATATGAACTCCGTGTGGCTTTCAATAATGGTATTTAGATACTTTCCTTCAGACTTTGCTGTGTAATAAACTATTATTTCATCAGTTGGAACCACATTGCACTGAAAGCACATACAGAAAATTTAAAAAGGGAAGCACTTTGTTAATCAAAATGTAAGGTGCTGTTGAACAAGGGGTGACAACTGCATCCTGAATCATTATAAAAGGTACAGTCACCTGCCCAGTCCTCCTCTGAAACAAAGGAGCGACACAGCGAGAGCCCACTCAAAGCTCTGAACTGAGACAGAGCTCACAAGCAGCCTGCGTGTCTGCTGAAAGTGGCCTCTTCAGACCCTGAGCCACAGACCTAAAACGCGGCCTATAGAGGGCTGGTGGGAGCTCTCCTAACTCTCGCATCTGGCGGGGGGCAGTCAATGGGCTCTGTGTGCCTGCCCTGACCCTCAGCTCCCAGATAAAGAAGAATCAGCCCTCTGTCCAGATCCAACAATCTCCCCACCGAGCTAGAAGCCCTTCTATGCTGACTTGACTGCACCTCTGCTCTCTTCAGAGAAACCCAGTAATCTCTGATGACTTTTTGCACCAGTCAGGATGGCTATTGATTCAGATGATTTTGTGGAAGCCCCAAGGAACTGAAAGAAGAGAACAAGGGGCACAGGTTGGATGAAAACTCCTGGTTAGAGAAACAAAAGAGCCATGTCCAGCTGGGGAGTGAACAAGTGGGAAGAGGAAAGGGCCTAACTTTCCTGCAGAGTGCGATCTGCATGGACTACAGATTAGTAACTAATTATCATTAATCTGTTACTACTGTTTATATTACCTACCTCTCCCATGCTTCCCAACAACCATAATGAAAAAACAAATGAAACCCCAAAACAGTAGCTTGTTCTTAATCTGACAAACCTTTTTGCGAAGTTTCTGGATGCGATTGATGACTTCCCGAGCCATCCCTTCATCCACCATTGACTGATCAGGGCTGACATCTAAGAGAACCAAAACCTGTAGGAGCGAACAGAGCGTACCATGCCAGGAATCAAATAAGGAAAAATGGTTCTTTTTAAACTCAGCAAAACACTATTTAAAACTAAATTCCGAAGTCTAATATGCAGCATTATTTATTCAAAAAACTGAGCAAAGGACATTGTTAATGCAGATTCTTCACAGTTCAAGTTCTTGTTTGTAAGCAGGGATTCCTTCCTCTCTGGAGAGAGGCGCAGCTTCCTTTTCTTCCTCAGGATGCTGCTCATAAGAGATCCTGAGACCGGCTTTGTTAGTCTCTCATGTAACTCTGCTGTTTGTCTATCTAATAAATAATACCAACTCTTTTGATGCATAAGATCAACAGTCATGAAGCCCTGACAGCAGCACAACTTTTTTTTTTTAATATTATTATTTGGTTTATTTTATTTTATTTTATTTTTTTTTATTGTTAGTTTCAGGTGTACAGAACAATGCAATAGTTACCCTTTTCACCCTCACAAAGTAACAACCCCCCTCCCCCCATCCACTGC